ATACTCATACTCATACTCATACTCATTCCCACACATTCCATTTACTAGGTCGCTGACCTTAACTGACAACATATTGGATGGAGGGGGGGGGAAATGTAACATTACACAAGAAATTATCAAAACCTGAGTCCAGAGAAAACTCCTTGCTGGGTTTCCAAGTCTTTAAAAAGGTTTGATATCAGCGTGAACTCTATCACTCTTCATCCGTTCATATAAAAGCAGCCAAGCCAACTTCCAACAATAATAATTTGTCTCCCAATACAGAGATTAAGAAGCCCTGAATGGGCTGTAGTATTTCCAGATCTCCTAAAGATCTTCTAAACAGCGAAGAACTACACTACCACAAGGAAACAAGTAAGAAGTTGATAGGCCACTAATCGCACTTTTGTTAACTGATTTATTCCATAGTACAGCATACAGGAAATCTAATTTAAATCTTCTATATCTTGACTAAGATTTAGGGATAGGAAATGTTATGCTGGAGGACCAATGCTGTATCATGAATCTTAGCCTTCTGTAAGGACTACCAATATCTCTATACCAGCATTCAAGAGCAAGAAATGAATGTGATAGTTGTCTGCCTTTTAATCCAAATGTGATGATGAAATCTGTCTACATTCTTAGTCCCCAAACACTTAAACTCACGTATATTCCCACTAAAAGTTTCATCCAAAAATTCCCAGACAGTACATGGGACAGCACAGCAGAGCACAGAACAGAACAGAACAGAACAGAACAGAATTCTTTATTGGCCAAGTGTGATTGCACAGACAAGGAATTTGTCTTGGTGCATATGCTTTCAGTGTACATAAAAGGAAAAAAAAAGGAAACAGAAAGCATTTAAGAATGTATTTAAATATACATTTAAAATACTTCAGGGAATTACCCGCTTTATAATTAGCTTCTTTTATAAAACAGCTTTCAGAAAACAAAAGAAAACAATTTCTAATATGCATTTGTTTTGCTTGCTTTTTTTCTTTTTCTTTTTACAAAATGTCAAGTCGGTTTTTATTAAATTAAATACCACGGAGGCAGAGTGCTTCATGAAAGTAAAGGAATGTTTGTAATCTACTTACGCTATTTGCAAGAACTTACATGCTGTTGCCTAAAGGGGTTTTTGGATTATGCCTGTTCTTCTCAAGGTCAGAAAGTTGAAATCCAAGTTACTTGCTTTAAACAAGCAGCAGGCAATTCATTTCTTTGCAACATCCAAAATCCCCTGTCCTATCTCAACGGATTAATGTTGCAGTGGGTAATGGCATGGTTCCCTCTGTGTGTGTGTGTGTGTGTGTGTGTGTGTGTGTGTGTGTGTGTGTGTGTGTGTG